ATAAGCTACTATTTTGAAAAGTGAATATTTAATATGTCGGTCAACGTATGATGCTGCGTGGTATTTACTTTTTACATCGTAATCGTAGCCTAATATTAACTGCAGGCAAAACATTTTTATTGGCTGCTCAAAAATCTAATTTGCATAATTTATTCACACAATTGCTGTTCTTACTACTTATGTCTAATACTGTGCATTATCCATTTTAATTGTTCCTAATTTGCACCCAATGTTCCTGTCACACTGTGTACTGACGATTTTTATTGCTCCTTGTATGCCTCTGTGCCGACAGACCTTTTGATCATGCACAATGGTGCCCTGATTGGTTAATCACCCTTGTCAAAATTTCTAATGACGAAATGACATCTATTTTTTTACGCTTCATCAGTGAACTGAATTGTAAATAACAGAATTTCATAAAATAGTAACATATTCTTTTCATTACCAATCAATTCATTTAAAAATATTTAAAGTTAGATTTATGATTCTGTTTATTGGATAAATTTTACGGATTTAGCTGACTATTTTACGCTGATATATAACAAAGCATACCATGACGCGATGTACCACTACTCTGACCAGCTTGTCTATTCAAAATTAAGTACAAATATAAAACAGACGAAAACTATAATCAGTCGAGAGTCTTAAGACAAGTTCTCTCAAAGACGATGGTTTCTTTGATAAATTAATGCAGTCACCCTTTCTTAAATCTCATTGTTACGTGGTTATGCATTAGCCAAGCTTAAAATCTGTACAAATGCATAATTAATGTCCGGCGATCTTCAATTTCACTCAGAATTAATTAAAACACAATTCAGTTGTGCGCATATGAGTTTACATAGATATAATATAAAAATGTTATAGCAATAACTAATAATTGGTTCATCAGCATATATTTCAGTATGTACCAGCGTGACACCCTATATACCGGAATGCGGGTGTTGCTAACACTCACAATTTTCGGGTCTCGGTCGTCTCGTAGAGTGTTATTGACAGAACGCCAAAATGGCACTACCTAACGTGAAACTTATTCTCTACAGTAAAATCAAATTCGCGAGTGTCTTTAACAAACACCGAGATTTTTCATCACATTAGGGTTGAATGTCAACCAGAAAATATCAACTGTCATGTTATATTCTGTATACCTCGTTATCAAAATCTCCAATGAACATGTATTTAATTAGACGGACACTCAATTCCTCGCATTCCTTACATTCCTTTAAGTAAAATTGTTTGAAAAAAGGCTTTAAAAGTGATCACAGGAAACAGATCTGAGTGTCAACAGACAGACGGACTAAACCCCACAAACTCTAACACTTATTTTTAAACATCCCTGTTATCAAAATATAACATTTTTAAAATCCTATCATGATTGTAGAAGTTGGAGTAAAAATTACCAATTTCTCAAAAAAAAGTCTAAGTTCAAAAGGGGCATAAGGCCATCCTTAAAAAAATGTTTGTTTGCAGTAACGCAACCGACTCACAAAATTTGCCCCTACTCAAATTTTTTTTTTCATGGTCTGAATAATTTTTTTTTTTTGGAATCAGAAAATTATGCCTTGTGCTTTGTGCTTTTAAAGGTTAATAGAAGAAACAAAATGTAGTTTTTATTAAATTAGAATTCAGTTATCAATTCATTAATTGTTACCAAATTATCAAAGCATATATTGTCCAGCATTTTGAAATTCCATGTTTATTTGGGAGTACAGCTCAATAAAAAAAAAAAGAAATCGACCTACCTACCCACCTTGAAAATTCTGGGTCGGGTTACTGCAAACAAACATTTTTTTAAGGATGGCCTAATTCTGGAAATAGTCTTGCTAGAGTATTGAACACTCACAAAATTTAATGTTGAGTGATAATAAGAAACATTTATATGAAGTTTGAAGTAGATACATTCAGAAAAAGAAGTTATTAAAAAAAAAACAATGTTTTTTTCATGAAAATTTAAAGTTCAAGGGAGGTAATTCTGAAAAATTCTGCGCTAGAGTTGTAAACCTTGTCACATATGATGTGGTTGATGACAAGCAACTTATATTTAAAGTTTGAAGAAAATACCTTAAGAAATAAAGAACTTATAGTGAAAAAACTTAAAAACTAGAACCAGAAATCTTGAAATTCAGTCTATTTGTTGCCATAGCAACCAGAATTTTCAACATAGGAAGATAAGAAAAGGATGTTCATAATTTCCATACTGCCATCTACCCATATGTCAAGTTTCATAAACATATTTTCAGTACTTTTTGTGTTATCACTGGATCCAGGTTATGTGTAAAATTTGCCATATTTTCAGTCTATTTGTTGCCATAGCAACCAGAATTTTCAACATAGGAAGAAAAGAAAAATACGTGCATAATCTCCATACTGCCATCTATCCATATAACAAATTTCATTAAAATATTTTCAGTACTTTTTGCGTTATCGCGGGATCCAGGTTATGTGTAAAATTTGCCATATTTTCAGTCTATTTGTTGCCATAGCAACCAGAATTTTCAACATAGGAAGAAAAGAAAAAGACGTGCATAATCTCCATACTGCCATCAATCCATATATCAAGTTTCATTAAAATATTTTCAGTACTTTTTGCGTTATCGCAGGATCCAATTTTGTGGACGGACGGACTGACGGACGGACAGACGGACGGACGGACAGACGGACGGAGGGTAAACCTAAAGTCCCCTCCGGTAAACCGGTAGGGGACTAAAAATGAAAGATATGATGAAAAAATATATAAAGCAATAACCAGTAATTATATACATAATTATAGGCCGAGTAGACACATGCCAAGTTGGTATAGGGCTGAGATAACCAGGGACGAGTTAGTTTTAGGACCAAGTTGACCCGGATTTGGTTGAAATAGTCTGACTAGGCATCATTTTGAATTGGCAGTGGCTAGCTGTACTGGCCCATATTGCTAGCCAAAAGTTCTAGCTGTATGTCTAGTATGACTAGTCTATACGCACTGTTGAGGCTAGCCATACAGCATTTCTAAAATAAATAACCTACAACAATAATTGATATGTAAGCTTGTTTTTCTAAATAAAGCTTTATTGAATATCATGAAAACTTAATCAGTTACAGTAGGTATATAATTTATAAATCTTTAGCCTTCAATTGAATTATTTTAAGTTTTTAAAATAACTGATTAGGACAGTGAAACTTGTTTTTATATCATTCGGTTCACTTCGGGCATTTGACGGAATAAGCCGAATTGCTTTCCGTAGATCTATTTTTAACTGTGGTTACTAAGCATTGATCATAACATCATAACAACTTTTCATTGGTCATAGGAGTTTGTATTCCTACGCTTCCTAGTATTTATACTGATTACTTACCATTTATCATTGCTATAAGAATTTTTCGTGTAGCATTGAAGTTTCAAATTAATTTGCATGCTTTATCCTGTTTTCTCGTATTCTCGGGGGGTTAAGGACTAAACTTGGTTGCATAATATTTAAAAAACATTTTGTTACAGTATTTTTAGCCTGATACACAGAGAAATACCTTATTAACAAAATATAAAGAAAGAAAGATCGTAACTGTAAGCAAAACTAAAGATATTTCTGCTTGTATATACTGACCTTCACCCTCTATGTGAAGCAGGTGCTTTCTCGTATTCTCGTGGAATTTGATTGGTTGTTAAGGCTGGTCGCTATGTGATGATTTTATTCTACATACCAGTTCAAATCATTAGTGCCACACCTAATTAAGTGTTAAATGGCCTAAATCTGTAATTTTATTGTGTTTTAATAACAGCTTGGCAGGCCATATCAAACTTTAAGGATCATATTGACGCCTCTTTGGTACCAAATGATTTTGATTGTTCCAATATAGTTTGAACTCCATTTAGTGTTGTTATTTACATAATCTCTCTAATATATATTAAGTTTACGTTTATTTATTAGTGACCTATTAGTTATATGAGCATAAAACAATGAATACTACTGTTTTCCATTGCAGTTGTCAAAAATGAAATGTGTTTAGGACAAACACTGTTTCATTATTGGTTTTTAATTGGAGTTCATATCTTTTTTATACTATCTATTTGTGGAACAAATATTTTGAGCTGTATTGTATAAATAGTAGTGTGAGACCGTCATTTGAAGCGTCTTGCATCAAGAGACCCGCTACAGGTTTCTGCAACATGGAAAAAACTAGAAAATTGATGATTTTTGGGGGGAAATTGATAAATTTAATGTTTATTCTCTGGATTTTACGATTATTTCCACAGTTATTTTGGTTTTTTATCTGTTTTTGTCGCATTTCTTTTATTTTTTTAATGGAGATGAAAATGCTCTGCTAAATAGACATGTTCGACGGAAGTCTCGAGCGTCGCTTCCATCCGTTTTAATTATTCCACGAGAATACGAGAAACCCCGAGAATACGAGAAACAGGGATACTACTTAAGATAAATTTATGCTATTTTATCTTAGCCTATGTGTATACCTTCAGCTGTTCAGTGTCAACATCAACAAGTTTCTCTCGAAAGTCGACTCCAATAGTTGCTTCTGTTTTGTCTGGAAATTTGCCACAACAGAATCGATATGTAAGACAAGTCTTACCAACATTTGAGTCTCCTATAACAATAATTTTGAAAATTCTTCTTTGAACCTGTTTTTCCAAGACAGTCACTGAACTTTCAAGATCTCTCTGCATTTCTAACTTTTCAATAGATGCCATACTTAGTATTTATGAAATGTATATTCTTGTAACTAAAATTGTTGAGAATGGTATGATTATAAAATGATGTTAACTTCAAAAACACAAGAAAACCATGTTTTTCACAAAATTGACAACTTCGTAATTTCTGGGGGCAGCCATATTTGTTGTTGTTGTGGCACACTCACATTTGAACGAGAGTGCATTTTTGATATTTTTTCATTTAATATGATAAAATATAACTTTGATTTGCCGGTTTCAATATATACAGTTAACTCAAAGAAAAATTATCAGATTCTTTAGGATCTCGCCTTGTCAGACGATCTGCGAGAGTAGTGAAACGAGAGTTTACGAGATTTGCTCCATCTTGGAATTTCCACGAGGTTTCTCAGAAAAAAGGGCAATATAATTAGGGCATATAAGCTCTGCCCAACGTTCAAAAATGCCCACGAAAACTCCTTTGCCACCTAAAGAAAATGCTCTTTTTAAGCGCATTTTGGTAAGTGATTGGATAAAGTAATAACCGCCCTTCAATGCAATTTCCTAGGTTATGACACCGAAAAAAGTAAAAAATTATGTTTTGGTAGTCATGCTTTTGAATCGATAAAATCTCATTTGTGTCGGATTGTTCTATGAATGTGCATTTTATGTCAGACATTTGGTGACTGGCCGTCAATCTTATTTTCGGCTTAAGATGTCTTGCGACCAATAGTTGCAAAACATCAAATCAGAGGGTCTATTAAGGCCCTGAATATGTCTAGTTTGACACACTTTCTACATCGGTGTACTATGGGTGGGCATTGCAAAAAAATCATATTGTAAACAAATACATCTTTAAGACTTAGAATAATCATTAATTCATGTCTATGTCTCATTGAGGGGTTTGACATTAACAGTAGATTAATCGGGGTTGCATCTAGACTCTACATGATTGTGTGATTTGCGCACAATTTTTGCAAAACACGCATTTTAATGAAGTCAGTGCTCACCAAATCGGGAATCTGATGTTCTTTTCAACTTATTTCACTTAATTTTCATCATATCTTGAAGGCTTATGCCATGTTTGTTTTCACTCGCACAAATGACTAAAATACGTACTTAATCATGTGTAGCGGCGCCCATGTCATCTGGTGTGTGTAGTGAGGATTTGATCTGCGCACTTTGTGTAGTATTTATCAATATTTTGTTTTTTCTATTTCCGTTGTTGAGCAGACGATAGCTGTCACATAAAAAAACCAAATCCAGTGTTAATTCTAGGATTTGAAAAAACGGGGATTTTTATCGAATAGTGAGAATTTATTACATTTGTTGATCTTTTTCCTTCTTCCCCCCGCCTCTGTCAGAATAAATAGGGGGGAATTCTCAAAAATATGGGCAAATCCCCCCCCCCATCCCCCCTCGTAGAATAGACACTTGAAATCTTTACCATACGTCATATTGTTTGGTAATTGCATGTCCCCCGACACTTTTTTTTAAATCCCCCACATTTTTCATTTGGTTGGGGGATAATCCCCCATAATTTTTAAATTCTAAATGCAACACTGATAAATGATCAAACATGTAACTGGTCAATAAATTTGATAAGAGATACTTGAGAAAGCTTGTTTTATTTTGAATCCCCTTGGATGGAAAATATTTAAAAACCATCTAATTCCCACTCGGCAGGTTTTAAGCCCAAGTTTCAAAGTTAACAAGTGTCCGCCAGTGTCCCAATTAGAAGTTTTTGGGTGTGATAGGACGAAACGACCAACTTTACCAGAAAGATATATCTGCAGGGCATTTTTTCCTTCTATAACAGGGGATCTGCAGGGCATTTTTTCCTTCTATAACAGGGGCCGATTACAGGCCCCTTCACAATTCAAAATTGCACTTTTTTTTTTTACAAAGCGGCGGGAAAAAATTCACAATTTCAAAAGCGATTTCATAAAATTTTGGGACTTTGTCTTCAAATTTCATTGTTTACCTTCTGGTAAAACTTGATTTTTCCCTATTGCAAACATGTAAATAGTTTTAATCAAGTTATATGGTATTTGTGCATGTTTACCAGATTAAAGGACCAGCTCAAAGCAGATTTTACAGAAATTATTATCAAGCTTCATCATATCCGGTTTCAAAATTTCATTAAATGGCAAATTTTATTTTGTCTTTTTTTCACAATTTTATGACATATTGCGCTTTTTTCATAAAATGAACAGGCCTAGGCCCCTTCACAATTTTGGCAAAAAATGCCCTGATCTGTTTTGTTTATATTACAAATTTTGAATCATAACTGGTGCCTATGTCAACATAATGTTTTTTGTAACCGACTATAAATAAAGATTATCTTGTCTTATAATTAACCTCTAATTCACAGTCTTCAGTTATGAAGACCCGCAAATAATGGTAACATTGGATAAGTGAAATCTATGGCGAAACAAGCACAATAGTACGTAAATTAACCAAAACATTTCATAGTACATCAAATTAAAAGAAATGAATTTCAGTCATAGATTTACACAGTTTCATGTTTTGCATAATTCATTCCTGTGTTACTGGACACGCACATTGATAATAGAAAGGCACTTTGTTTTGTTAGGCAGTTCAACTTGCAAGATGATCCGCAGAGTAAATTGTGCTCAATTTCATTGGTTCTCATTTTGATATTTTCCAGAAATGTTATGAACAGAAACAGTACAGGAATGGATTGAAGTTTTCAAAACAGATCCTTACTAACCCAAAATTCTCAGAACATGGAGGTAAGAATGCTTGAAAGTTAAATGATTTTTAAATTTTTTATATTTTTAATTTTTGTTGGTAGTTTTTAAAAAAAAAAATGGCATGCATTAGGCGGTATTGGAGAAGGGCTATTACACCTCTTTATACACACAAAGGTTTTTTTTACTTCCGTTGTATTATGGTATAGTGTTAGTTCGTCTGTCCATCTGTTAGCAGTGATATTTTTTCCAATTTTCAAAACAACCTGTGGCTACCTGAAGGGGAAATAAAGCGCAATAAATCAGAAAAGGGAAAAATCAAATTCCAACAACTGAGAATGGAATTTACCCACACATTTTATAAAAATTATAATTTCAATTCAATTTAACATGCATGGTACATAGCAGAGGCTATAGGGACAGCTTTCTGTCTTTTAGATGATATAGTCAGATGCTGTTAAGTAATGGTTCTGGTGAAGAAGTGCACAGGGCATTACAGGGGAAAATATTAGTTTTTTTAGGGGAAAATATACCTATTTTGAGCTAGGGGAAACAGCCTTTATTCGGCTGTAAAATACAGGGGAAAAAATCATTGGTTAGCCACAGCAATGTCTGGGAATTTGTTAACATATTTCCTTGTACATTGTATTTAAGTGATTTCAAGGTATTCCCTTTTGATCAAAAGTGATTTTCAACGTTAATGCACACTAATGATTCAGAATGTTATGCATCTTGATATTGTGAGAAAACATGCATTGGGTGTGAGAATCCTGTAGTTGCAAAATAATCCTGTAGTTGCAAAATAGATAAAACACATGATTTTATAAGTATTTATTTACAATGACATACATTACTATTTTAACAGAAACCTTGGCGATGAAGGGACTGACACTAAACTGCCTGGGTAGGAAGGATGAAGCATATGATTATGTTCGACGTGGACTAAGAAATGATCTACAGAGTCATGTCTGTATCCTTATTCTCTAGAAATACTGGTTCATTTCCACATAATGTCAGTCAAGGGAAACTCTAATTCTTTAAAATATAACACAAAATAGCCTGAATGAAATTTTAAGTCAGAAAATATTTCAGAAATCTTTTTTGTTTGAGTGTGTACATTTTGATTTTAAGTTATAAAGGCAGAGTCTGTGACTTTTTGGAGATTTCTAGAGCTTAACATCTTTGATTAAATGTACAAGTAAGTTTTTGCTGCTTCAAATTTGTATGCAACTCTCACAAGTACAAGTTTGCAAATGATGAAGACAAATGGATCCTTCATACCATATACAAGGGGGAGTACTCACCCATATAAACCTTGGTATATAGAGTGAAGATACTGTTATACTGATGCAATATGATATATAGTAAAGTAATGTAGATTTGTGATGAAACTTGGCATGTATGGACTAGCATCAATTAATGTTCCAAACTTTGTCAATTTTCCTTAACTGAAATAAGGTTGGCATGTTTACGGTCTCCTTCAAAGATCAGACAGAAAATATGATGAGGCAATCAAGTGCTACAGAAATGCTCTGAAATGGGACAAGGTAAGGTATTTTGAATTTCAACAATCTTTAATATCCCACTATTGCACCTTCTCATGTTTCATCCCTTACAATGTGGTATAATAATAATCAGTCCAAGGGTATGTTTGTGTATATTTACATTTTAATATTAGTTTAAGATTAGGATGAAATGTACTAGATCATCTTTACTGTGAATAAGGAGTGGTATGAGTATAATAAACTCCCAGGATGAAGATATATACAGTTGCTTGATTAGGCTGCTAGAACTGCGTCAAGCAATGTTGACTCTTGTGCAGTAGATGTTTCCCTTGAAATTATATCACAAAACAGCATCATTATTTTGAATATTTATACCATTCTTCTTTGTAATATCTGTAATTAAATAGATGTTATAATGTTACAATTTGCTGTAACATGTAGTCATGTTACTAGGGTGCTAGTTCTACAGTATTTAACAGATTTGAAGAAAATATTATGACTACCTGGACCAAAATAACTAGAGAAAACTCATAAATGAAAATTCATAACTTATTCATAAAATGAAGAATTTTTTTTTGTGTGCAAATGATGAAGACAAATGGATCCTTCATACCATATACAAGGGGGAGTACTCACCCATATAAACCTTGGTATATAGAGTGAAGATACTGTTATACTGATGCAATGTTTATCTGAGTTATATATATCTTTTTATTATGTACAATGCTAGACTTTGTTCATTTATACTGTTATATGTAACGTCTTGAGTGAAATGTGATTATTCTAAGTAAATGATATGAGATAAATTACACTTATGTTTATTTTACAGGATAACTTACAGATCCTCAGAGACTTGTCTTTATTGCAAATACAGATGCGTGATCTTGAAGGCTACAAGGTTTACTTGCTTATTTTTATGCATTTTGTTTTAAACTTTTAATACTATGTGCTGGAAACAGTTGCCAACTTTTAATAAACAATGGTACTGTATGGCAGATCATTTCACATTGTATATAGTTTGCATTACATGACCATCATAGTAGTGGGGTTAAATTCAGCCATGCACATAAAATTTTGTTCATGGAGGAAACATTCAAGCTAGCTTTTGAAGGTTTCTGGGTTTATTAAAGTGTCCATTAATTTTGTGCCTTATTTTCTGCATACAGTGGTTCCTATGATTTTGTTTTCAAAGAAAAAAGTTCAGATCAAATATCTGGTCCTAATTTTATTTTCATTATTATATTGATCATGTTTGACTTGGATATATATTTAGAAATTAAATATTAACAACTGCTGATATGCAATGTAACAAACTTATTTTGGGAGACTGCCTCCGTGGTCGAGGGGTTAGAGTCGATGACTTCTAATCCAGTTACCTCTCTGGCGTGGGTTCGATCCCCGAGAGATGCTTTGGTAGTTTAGCACGGAGGAAGGTAGTCTAGCACTGGTGTAACTCTCCAGGAACGATGGTTAGGAATTTACCCGCCTATATGACTGAAATACTGTTGGAAAAAGGAGTAAAATGAAACAAACAAACAATTATTTTGGGATAACATATAAAAATGTTAATATCCAGATGTTCAAATGTTTCAGTGACTAGTTATTATTAGATCAAACAGATAATGCCATGCTATAAGTCTTACTTTTGATTTTCATAATGAGTTGAAAATAGGGCATACACATTTCCAATGGTATTTTCATAGTTATAAATTATGATTCAAAATCCAATGATTGTGAAGTTATATAAAATTAAAAAGAAAATCTATGTCTGATTGCAGGAAACTCGTTATCAGCTGTTAGTTCTTCGACCGGGTCAGAGAGCATCATGGATTGGTTATGCTATGGCATTTCACTTGCTGAAGGAGTATGATATGGCATTGAAAATCATAGAGGCCTTCAGAAATACTCAAACAGTAATTATTATCATTTAACTTTATATAATTTTACTATTGTTATGATAAAAGCAAAAATTCTTTAGAGTACTGCATAATATGGAAACTACTATGTCCTTGACACATTGTATAAGAACTGGTAGTACATACCTATATTAAACTTATACACAAGATGAAGGGTACTGTTATCTATGGTATGGTTATGTATGTAAGAACATTTTTTTTGCAAATAGGTATCAACAGTTTACACATTGTAATATGCAAATGATGAAGACAAATGGATCCTTCCTACCATATACAAGGGGGAGTACTCACCCATATAAAACCTTGGTATATAGAGTGAAGATACTGTTATACTGATGCAATGATTACATGCTATAAATTAAGGTCACCGGAATCTTGTGATGCATTATTAATATTAATCTCTACTTTCAATGTTTTTATGCCCCCATGTATCTAGTAAGAGAACAGTCCATCAGACAGACAAGTGAATGGGAGTAAAACTTTCTGGAAAATTTGTTTGTTAGACAGGAATCTTGGGCCCGGACAAGTCACATTTGTGTTTACCAAATAGTTCTTGATCTTATTGGAATTACATATATAAATGTAAAAAAATAATCTTTTGTTACAGCCAAAGGCATTTGACTATGAGCATGGTGAGTTGTTGTTGTACCAGAATCTAGTGTTAAGAGAGAAAGGAAACATGCAAGAAGCCTTGGATCACCTTGATAAATACGATAGTCAAATAGTAGACAGGCTAACAGTGCAGGAAACCAAAGGTTTGTTGTATCTTATATATGCAACCACCTATACATAATTTATAAAAGTACAGCTGACATTCTGTGGAAATTTTTGGTGTTATAACAGATGTATCTATAAAGTAAAATTGATATGCTATAGACCCAATTAAAGTTACAGGAAACCTGCCTTATTTTGACATGGAAATGTTTTTACTTTTTAGTTTTTCAGAAGATGAGTGCTTCTGCATACAGATTCTTACTTTTTAAAATGAGTCTGATAATCAAAATGAGGATGTTTTATGTTGATTATTACTGATATTTCTAACAGACTTGGTGTTAAGTCATATATAAGCATCTTAGCGTGTTGTAATTAATCATATTCTGGAATTATCTACAAATTTCTAATGTGAGCTTTCCCACAATGGAGCATGCATACATTTAGTGATATTTATTGTAAAAATATTTGACTTTTCTTTCTGACAGGAGAGATATTTCTAATGATGGGTCGGAAACCAGAGGCTGCTGTAATATACACTGACCTTATTAATAGAAATCCAGAAAACTGGGCCTACTACAAGGGCCTTGAAGATTCAGTACAGCCAGGTAAATGCCTTTATTTACAAAATTCTAAGCTTGCATTATAGATACTTGGTCATGGAGTACTTGACCACTATTGAATTTGAAATGCATTTTTAAGTGGCACATAATCCTAAAGTCATTTTTGCTATGTTACTTCACCTTGTTGATCAGAATATTTCCCTTTTCTCAAAATTCATTAAAAGTCTTGACAAATTTGTGCAAAATTTTGGGTAGGTAAGTCTACCAAGCACATATACAGAATTGTGTTTCATTTGCTGTTATTATGCTATCCTGCTGTGAGATAAGTGGATTGTGCTCTCAGGCGAGTTTAAAGTAATATTCTAAAAAGTCAATCTGTATTTTACATAGCAACGGAAGAAGCTCGCTGGAAACTGTATACAGATGTAGAGGAAAGATTTCCTAGAGCTTCAGCACCAAAAAGAATTCCACTAAATTTTACCACAGGTATTAATTAGTTATCTTTTGATGTGTGTCAGGTATTTAAAATATGTTAATAAGTGCAACTTTGTTATAGTGATTTTTTCCAGATCATGACCTTTTTGTAGTGTGTAAAGCTTGTTAAAAATAGAAACCTGTTTAGGGGGTTGTGCAAATGTTATAGATTTTCAAAGGAAAAGCAAGAAAATTGGGACATAGCAAGTGTTGTTTATGTCCCATGTGTGTGCTATATTCAAGTTGTTGTAAGTGGCACTACATAATAGTTTGATGATGACTTATGGATAGTCGAGAGAAATTGAGAATTTTAAATGTCACATGCGATGAATTGGTCGAGTTAATCGCAAGTTTTGTTCAAGAAACAAATTATATGAAAAAAAAGTGAATTAAAATAATCAAATACATATGGGCTGGCTATCTGTTAAATTTCACCATTGCTTGATTTATTTATTTAATAATTTTACAATACCACAAGCTTGTTGAAAATGGAAATATAGTAAGATGATTAATATTTCAGGTGACTTGTTCAGAAAGCTAGTAGACAAATATTTACGGAATGGTTTTCATAAAGGAGTTCCTCCATTGTTCATAACCCTAAAATCTGTCTACTCTGAACCAGCAAAGGTATGTCAGTTTTGTTCCATATTTAATCTTTTCATATTTATTGTAAGTATTTTTAGTCAACTGTATGTTAATGAATTATAAACAAAATCAACTCTGTTCATTTGTAGCATTAAAATATTAAGAACAAAAATCATACGAGACTTTTGCGAAAAGTTTTACGGTTATTCTGATTTATTTCAGGTTTCAACAATTCAAGAGCTTTGTCTAGGCTATGTATCAAGCTTAAGTGAACATGAACTTTTTGATAAGTCAGGTTTGTTCTTTATTTCTATACATTTTTAGCTCGACTATACGAAGTATATGGAGAGCTGTCCTACTCGCCCCGGCGTCGGCGTCCGCGTCCAGATTTTAGATTAAAGTTTTGGTGCAGTAAAATATTTTTCACTATAACTTTGTCATTTCTTAAGGTATCAACTTCAAACTTCAAATATATGTTCCTTATCATCAACCACATCTTATGTGACAAGGTTCATAACTCTAGCACCAATATTTTCAGATTTATCTCCCCTTGAACTTAGAATTTTCATTAAAAAATACTTTTTTTTACTGTTACTTCTTTATTTTTTAAGGGATCAACCTCATACTTCAAATATATGTACCTTATCATCATCCCCATCTTATGTGACAAGGTTCATAACTCTAGCACCAATATTTTCAGATTTATCTCCCCTTGAACTTAGAATTTTCCTTAAAAAATACTTTTTTTTACTGTTACTTCTTTATTTCTTAAGGGATCAACCTCATACTTCAAATATATGTACCTTATCATCATCCCCATCTTATGTGACAAGGTTCATAACTTTAACACCAATATTTTCAGATTTATCTCCCCTTGAACTTAGAATTTTCTTTAAAAAATATTATTATGCCCCCATTTCGAAGAAAAGGGGGTATATTGCTTTGCACTTGTCGGTCCGTCGGTCCGTAGACCAAATGGTTTCCGAGTGATAACTAAAGAACCCTTAGGCTTAGGAACTTCAAACTTGGTATGGTGATTGGTCATGATCAGTAGATGACCCCTATTGATTTTGGGGTCAAGGGGTCAAAGGTCAAGGTCACATTGACCTTGTAAGAGAAAACGGTTTCCGATCAATAACTAAAGAACCCTTAGGCCTAGGAACTTCAAACTTGGTATGGTGATTGGTCATGATCAGTAGATGACCCCTATTGATTTTGGGGTCAAGGGGTCAAAGGTCAAGGTCACATTGACCTTGTAAGCAAAAACGGTTTCCGATCAATAACTAAAGAACCCTTAGGCCTAGGAACTTCAAACTTGGTATGGTGATTGGTCATGATCAGTAGATGACCCCTATTGATTTTGGGGTCAAGGGGTCAAAGGTCAAGGTCACATTGACCTTGTAAGCAAAAACGGTTTCCAATCAATAACTAAAGAACCCTTAGGCCTAGGAACTTCAAACTTGGTATGGTGATTGGTCATGATCAGTAGATGACCCCTATTGATTTTGGGGTCAAGGGGTCAAAGGTCAAGGTCACATTGACCTTGTAAGAGAAAACGGTTTCCGATCAATAACTAAAGAACCCTTAGGCCTAGGAACTTCAAACTTGGTATGGTGATTGGTCATGACCAGCAGATGACCCCTATTGATTTTGGGGTCAAGGGGTCAAAGGTCAAGGTCATGTTGACCTCTTGGGTAAAAATGGTTTCTGATCAATAACAAAAGAACCCTTAGGCCTAGGAACTTCAAACTTGGTATGGTGATTGGTTTTGACCAGCAGATGACCCCTATTGATTTTGGGGTTAAGGGATCAAAGGTCAAGGTCACATTGACCTTGTAAGTTAAACGGTTTCCGATCAATAAAGAAAGAACCCTTAGGCCTAGGAACTTCAAACTTGATACGTTGATTGGTCATGATCAGTAGATGACCCCTATTGATTTTGGGGTCAAGGGGTCAAAGGTCAAGGTCACATTGACATTGTAGGTAAAAACGGTTTACAATCAATTAACTAAAAACACTTAGGCCTATGAACTTCAAACTTTGTATGATGATTGGTCGTGACCAGCAGATGACCCCTATTGAGTTTTGGGTCAAGGGGTCAAAGGTCAAGGTCACATTGACCTTGTAAGTAAAAACGGTTTCTGATCAATAACTTAAGAACGCTTTTGCCTAGGAACTTTAAACTTGGTATGGTGATTTGTCATGACCAGCAGATTACCCCCTTTCGATTTTGGGATCAAGGGGTCAAAGGTCAAGGTCACATTGACATTGTAAGTAAAAACGGTTTCTGATCAATAACTAAAGAACGCTTCGGCCTTGGAACTTCAAACTTGGCATGGTGATTGGTCATGAGCAGCAGATGACCCCTATTGATTTTGGGGTCAAAGGTCAAGGTCACATTGACCTTGTATGTTAAAACGGTTTCCGATCAATAACTAAAGAACCCTTAGGCCTAGGAACTTCAAACTTGGTATGGTGATTGGTCATGACCAGCAGATGACCTATTGATTTTGGGGTCAAGGGGTCAAAGGTCAAGGTCGCATTGACCTTGTAGGTAAAAACGGTTTCTGGTCAATTAACTAAAAACACTTTGGCCTAGGAACTTCAAACTTTGTATGATGATTGGTCGTGACCAGCAAATGACCCCTATTGAGTTTTGGGTCAAGGGGTCAAAGGTTAAGGTCATGACCAGTAGATACTTGATAAACCCTTATTAATTGTTTGATCACTCAGGGTCAGAAGTCATGCATAATAACTTTATCACATGACTAATTGGCTGCTGATAGGGGGCATACATGTTTTACAAACATATCTTGTTTTTTACTGTAACTTATTTTTAGCTCGACTATTCGATAAGAATAAGTAGAGCTATTGCAGTCACCCGAGCGTCGGCGTCGGCGTAACCACTTATGTTAAAGTTTTTGTAATAGTTCAAATATTTTCAAAGTCCATAGACATATGGCTTTGAAACTTTGCACACTTGTTCACCATCATGATCCCAACCTGTAGACAGGAGGAGGTAACTCTATCAAGCATTTTGACAGAATTATGCCCCTTTTTCGACTTAGAATTTACGTTAAAGTTTTTGTAATAGTTCAAATATTTTCAAAGTCCATTGACATATGGCTTTGAAACTTTGCACACTTGTTCACCATCATGACCCCAACCTGTAGACAAGAGGAGGTAACTCTATCAAGCATTTTGACAGAATTATGCCCCTTTTTTGACTTAGAATTTACGTTAAAGTTTTTGTAATAGTTCAAATATTTTCAAAGTCCATTGACATATGGCTTTGAAACTTTGCACATTTGTTCAACATCATGACCTCAACCTGTAAACAGGAGGAGGTAACTCTATCAAGCATTTTGACAGAATTATGCCCCTTTTTTGACTTAGAATTTACGTTAAAGTTTTTGTAATAGTTCAAATATTTTCAAAGTCCATTGACATATGGCTTTGAAACTTTGCACACTTGTTCACCATCATGACCCCAACCTGTAGACAAAAGGAGGTAACTCTATCAAGCATTTTGACAGAATTATGCCCCTTTTTCGACTTAGAATTTACGTTAAAGTTTTTGTAATAGTTCAAATATTTTCAAAGTCCATTGACATATGGCTTTGAAACTTTGCACACTTGTTCAACATCATGACCCCAACCTGTAAACAGGAGGAGGTAACTCTATCAAGCATTTTGACAGAATTATGCCCCTTTTTTGACTTAGAATTTACGTTAAAGTTTTTGTAATAGTTCAAATATTTTCAAAGTCCATTGACATATGGCTTTGAAACTTTGCACACTTGTTCAACATCATGACCCCAACCTGTAAACAGGAGGAGGTAACTCTATCAAGCATTTTGACAGAATTATGCCCCTTTTTCGACTTAGAATTTACGTTAAAGTTTTTGTAATAGTTCAAATATTTTCAAAGTCCATTGACATATGGCTTTGAAACTTTGCACACTTGTTCACCATCATGACCCCAAACTGTAAACAGGAGGAGGTAACTGTATCAAGCATTTTTTTTACTATCAAGCACTAAGAATAGTCGAGCGTTGCTGTCCTACCGACAGCTCTGTTTTCTAAAGGGATCACTTTCATACTTCAAATAAATGTACCTTATCATCATCCATATCTTATGTGACAAGGTTCATAACTCTAGCACCAATATTGCAAGAATTATCTCCCCATCAACTTAGATTTTTTTACTAGAAAAATGTTATTTTTTACTATAACTTTTTTAGTTTTAAAGGTATCTACCTCAAACTTCAAATACTTATTCCTTATAATCAATTATATTTTATGTGACAATGTTCATAACTCTTGAAGTAATTTTTATAGATTTATCTCTCTTTAAACTTAGGATTTTCTTTAAGAAATATTATAACTTTGTTACTTTTTAAGGTATCTACTTCAAACTTCAAATATATACTTCTTATCATTACATACATGTTGTGTGACAAGGTTCATAACTCTAGCGTGACTATTTCTAGAATTATTTCCCTTGATCTTGGAATTTATTTTAACAAATGTTATTTTTTTACTATAGTTTTATGCATAATTGATTTTTCTTTCATAGTTTTGTCCTCCTTACTGCGTCCAGTATTTTATTAGTCGAGCTTGGCTGTCTCCTGTGACAGCTCTTGTTAGTCTTAACTACTTAGTTACATGTATGAGTAATTGAGGGGATGGCAGGGACTTTTATAAAACTCAAAAGTAACATAAAACACTGAGTTTTAAGTGGCGTCATGGAGTGGATATGTTTATGAGGAGAAAGTAGTAGAGAAAGCAGTTTTACCATCAGTGTATGAGGAAAGAAAGAGAAAATGTATAAAGAGAAAATGTTCAAGCAGTTTGGATACCTTCATCTATTTTGAATAAATAGCTTTTAAATTTCAACTTCATTGGTTAGTTTAGTGGTTATGAAATGTAGAGGTGCGCGGTTTAACCGGTATACCGGTAAACCACGGTCCGAGACTTCTGTGGTACGTACCGCGGTACAGACCTGGAAAACCGGTACTTTAACTCTAATTTAAAGCAATTACAGATCCGTAAAATGTACTAAATAAAAAAACTTTTTCTGTTGTATATGTCAATGTTTCTTTGAGTTAACCTTTTTGCAAACAACTTTCGCCGACTGTTACAGTTATCATTCTTTGATAGTTCTTAGCGAAAATTGAATGCTTTATCGATTACCGCATGTAAGCCAGAACTGTCGACTTGCATGATCTCAGTTGAAGAAGCAAGAATTGTCGACTTACATTTACTTGTCCAAATATCGCTTATTTGATACGAAAATTAATCGTAAAATTTGATAATTCATGAGGGCATTCCTTGCATAAAATTAGGGTGTTACTATTTTAAGTATTTATATAAATAGCGACCAATCAGGCTAGGGGTTTTCCTTACGTCACGCACTTACTGCACGCGCATGGCAATTAACTAATTATAGAACGGCGTAGAAACTGGATTAAAAGTAATGTTCGTTCAACTAATGAATATTGATTAAGCAGTAACATGGTCAGCTGTTTTCTATGTGATAATTTTAATTTGCTTTTGGGGTACATGTTTGTTTTGGTTTCTGACACAGATTAATTAAATACTTAGCCCTTGCAATAAAAAATTTACAAATAGCAGCTGGGACTCTGTTATAAAATTAACCGACAAATAAATATTTGTCATCGGCTATCGTGCATTTGACCTATTATTTTATAAATCAGTAAGCAATAAAAACATTTTATTTTTCCATTTTAACTATGCAATTTATATAACAGTTGTTAAATGTTGAAAGAGACCAATATGTAATAATAAAAAAACAACAAGAACTGATCCATGACCCAATTAATTTATGATTGTCAACATGCGAAAGTACCTGATTGAAAAAAGTTAAATGATGCTTTGATTAATCTGTATTTTATAGATCTGCTTAAATTTAATTTTTGAAATTCTATACCAGCCTACCTTGATACTTATTTTAGAGATAAAAATTAACCTATAGCGTACAATGAAAATTTGTGGTATACCGTGGTTTTTAGGAAAAAACCGTGGTATTTTCTTTCTGGCGGTACCCAACTCTAATGAAATGCTGGCTGTAATGTTTTGTCATACTTATGACAGAAATATGTAAGATATAATTATGGTTTTTAAAATAACTTGGCAAAAATGTCTGTCATATCAAGACGATGTGTCGCATCCAAGACCCATGTCTGTACTTGGGGTCAAGATGGTTTGCTATGAATAGCACTTCATTTCACCAGAACAATATTGAGCAATTAATTCCTTTGTTACTTTTATTCTCTTTTCTTTTCATAATACCGTCACTTTTGAGTAACAGTTCTTGATTTTATCCAATGACAAGAAAAAGGAAAAAAGACATGTTTATATTTCAGATGAGAATTGTGAGAAGGAGCCACCAACTGCATTACTATGGGTCTATTATTATCTTGCTCAACATTATGACTATATTGGCAATGCACAGCAAGCCTTACACTATATAGACACAGCCATACAACACACTCCTTTACTTATTGAACTTTATGTTCTGAAAGCTAAACTTTTTAAGGTAATTTTAATATTTTCCTTTATTTTCCATTAGTAACATATAGAATTAAGTAATGTTGCATTTAATGTTATTGGGTCATTGTGAAAATGATAACTATACAGTATAATTTTTATGACAATCTTTATGAAATCAAAATATATTGTTGCGGTATGTGATAGTCATTTATTGAATAATAATATTATATGATTGTTATTATAACAGCATGCGGGTGATATAGAAGAAGCTTATAGATTAATGGACGAGGCACAGTCACTAGACACAGCTGATCGTTACATCAACTCTAAATGTGCCAAGTATATGCTGCGCTCTAACCTCATTACAGAAGCAGCGGACATGTGTTCAAAGTTTACGAGGGTATGTCTTAATAATAAAGTAACAATGGATATAGTGAACATGTTTGTATCTAAACTGTACAAGGGTTTTATTATATAAAAAGCCGGGTAATTCCTGTACATTAATGGGTATACAAGTACCAGCAAAATATTGATGTAAAAAATATAGTGAACATTACCCAAATTAGCTTTGTGACTCTTTATCTAACTTAATACTGAGGGGATTTAAGCTTGCTTCTAGGCCAATAAAATAAATTAACCTTAATAATATACAGCAATAATATGTTGAAATATGTTCAAAATAAGTAGTTATGTTAGATTAGTATGACTATATTGATATGTTTATATATTGTTATCAGGAAGGTGTGTAGTATGACTATATTGATATGTTTATATATTGTATCAGGAAGGTGTGTCAGCCACAGATAACCTGAATGAGATGCAGTGTATGTGGTTCCAGACAGAGGCTGCAGCAGCCTATCAACGTCTAGGCAAGTGGGGCGAGGCATTGAAAAAATGTCATGAAGTTGATAGGGTACGCACAAGCATTTTGTTTCTAACTTTACATAGTAATTATATAACTATTATTATAATCAGTCAATAATAAAATAATTTGTAACAATGCAATGTACTTTCAAAATTCTGGCACAGAATGTATAGCAAGTAAATTTTTCATCCTAAGCATTAATTGTTGCATGAAATTGAAAAACAATGTAAATTTTGTTGTATGTACAAAGTGGCCATTTTAAATAAACATATTTTACAGATAATTGATTATCATTTTGTGTGTATATGTATTTTGTTGTGTTTGTTTTATTCAGCATTTTACAGAGATTATAGAAGATCAGTTTGACTTTCACACATATTGTATGAGAAAGATGACGTTACGAGCCTATGTTGGATTATTACGATTAGAGGACGTTCTTAGAAGTCATCCTTTCTACTTTAAGGCAGCTAAAATTGCAATAGAGGTAATAATCAGAAGGATGTTTAATTTTTCCTTTATGTATCAACTGACGAAGCTAATAAAGAGAAACATGAACGGATATTTAAAATTGTGTTGGTTTTGATCTATTTATCATAAGGATATTTATAGAAATTTCATAGCAGAATGAAAAAATTGAAAATAATTATGACAAAATGTAAAGTAATTTTGACTTTAACGTGTACACAGTGTACATTCACCAATAAAACAACAATGTGCCATATGAATAAAGTAGTTCAGATTTGACTAAAAAATATCAGAACAAAAACAAATGAAATTTCTTATTTTGGTTGTTAATACTTAGTGGTATGGTTTTGAACAAACTAAATTTTTGCAATTATTAACTGTTGGCTGTGAACCTTGTTGAAGAAATGAATAAGGATTGTGAAAAGACATTATCTGGTATGTTTTTGCTATTGTAAACTACATAATAATTTGTTGTTGTTGTTTACAGATATACCTGCATTTACATGATCATCCTCTATCAGATAATGATAAAGATAATCTACTAGACGCAGGTACGTATTTGGTAGTCATTGTGTTATATAAGGCAAGGTAAAGGTTCTGTCATCTTAACCGCCTACTGATGGTTAAGGCCTAAATAAATGTATTGGTCGTCATGAATTGAAGCAGATATCCAGCTAGTGAACAGAAAGTATGTAGTTCTACACTAGTCTAATCATGTAACTGATAAAAACTGCTAAAATGTCATCATTTGATATTGACAGTGTAGTATGACATAAAATTTACTTAAATCTTCATTTTGAATCTTACAAGAATATATCTGAAAAAGGAAATTACAGCTTGAGGAATACAAAAGAATCATTTAACACTGCAAGTTGATAGATTTCAAGTGTGAAATGTTTTGTTTTTGTAATAGAAGTTAAAGAAAAAAGTACTTGAATTGCCAAGTTTTGCTTTGTATTTTCAACTGATCTGTTTAAAAATAGAAAATGATTTGCTTATTATTTATCATCATAATAATATTTATTCATTTCACCTGTAGACAATCTAACACCAAGTGAATTGAAGAAATTAAAGAACAAACAAAGAAAGCAACAAAAGAAACTAGAAAAAGAGAAAGAAAAACAGAAGGAACAAGAGAAAAAAGACCATCCAAACAAAAAACAACAAGATCAGGACCAAGATGGACCTAAAGAAGAGGAGCTTGTACCTGATAAACTAGCTAAAGTAAGTTCATTGCAGAATCCTTATGAGCACCAGTCAGTTGTAATTATAGGCCGTTCACCCTTAAGGGGAGTGCCTGAGTGAGCCAAGTTTCAACTGTTACCCTACTAGGTTAGCAGAAGCTTTGTTATGGTGCAAAAATGGCTGTGGTCATATATAAATATAAGTGCTAGGCTTTAAGCATGGATTTTTCCACTGACTATACCCTCACAGTGGGGCCTGTACCTGGGATTTGAAAATGCAAAGTTCTGAGTCTTATTTGGGGGTAGAGAGACCTTGGTTACAATTAACTAGTGCATCCTTATTGAAGGGGCATCCATGCCTAATACCTAAATAGTCTGCCTCATTTCATATAGAGATGTAATTTCTTTTGTCCAAATACTATGTAACCACAAATATATGCAAGCAGGCTTGTGTTTAAGTATAGTGTCATTTGAATGAAACAAATTGAGACATTCATAAAAACAAAATGTGATATTAAAATACTTAAACATATGTTATCATATATAAAATAATGTATATAATAGCAACTGCATGCAAGTTTACAAAATACTTGTTAAAACTTTAGATGAAATCGACAAATAAATGACAAATATTTTCTTGTTTTCCAGGCAGATAACCCATTAGAGCAAGCAATCAAATTCCTCAAACCTTTGCAATCACTAGCTCCTGAAAAAATAGAAACTCATTTATTTGCTTATGAAATTTATTCTAGAAAAGGTAAGGTTTTTTCAAAGTCATATCTTTGTTTGAGTATACAACATTAAAATCTGTTCCATGTGCTATTATTATTATTTTAAGATATACCTTCAAAATGGGCAGGCATATAGTTTTTGCAGTATCCATCCTTCCTTCTGTCTGTCCGCACTTTGTGTCGGATCAAAACTTTTGTCATTGAAATGGTTTTATATTAGTTTAAACATATTTTATTTATCAAATTTTCAAGCATGTATCATTTTACATCACAATATATATGGATTGGAAAACAAGCATAACACTTATATGGTTTCATGTTTATGTGAAGCTAATTGAGACAAAGTTTGACACTCAAGACTGGGGTCTAGCTCAAAGGTCAAGCTTATACTTGGACATCAAATGCAATGATGTCTGTGTCCTAGGTGGATTATAAATAACTTAAAAAATGTGTTTGGTCTCTATAGCTTAAAGCTCTTGCTTGTATGTCTGTAGTTATGATATGAAATTTTTATATAAAAAAATCTGTCATTCCTGGATAGATTTGAAAATGACTGAGATAAGTGTTTAAAACATGATGAGAATATGTCATGCAGAAGGAGAAGGGTTTGAACTGGAAAGTCAGGCACATACTCTTAGATTATGATACTAAATTTTTCATAGAAGTGCATTGATGATCGCATCAGGTCAACAATTCTCTCATTCCTGGATGGAGTTTAAAATAGATTGGCATATATTTTATATCTCTTTGAATATTTGTTTTACAAGTAACCTAGTTGCATATCTAATAAAGTATATAATATATTGATTTCAGATAAGTTATTATTGATGTTGCAATCTCTAAAACGTGGATGTCAAGTAGACAGTCAAAACCCACAGTTACATGTTTATCTTCTCAGGTTTTTTACTCTAGGTAAGAACTTCTTACATTACCAACTGAAAAATGTCAGAAATTAATCTATATTTTTGTTCCTTACAACAAACAGATGAAGAATTGTGTCACTGTCTGAAAGTAAACATATAAGGAGGGTTATACAAATTTAGTTCTACTTGCATGTTCCTCTGAATCAGTAAAATGTGACCTGAGCATAGAAGGGGTTTTGATTATAAAGTTGAAAAATGAAATTTACAACTTGCTGTTTTCAAATTTTATGACGATTTTTGTAATCCTATATCTTTGAATCGAAAAACCAATCTTCTAAGGGTTGGGATGGCTTGTGAGAACATTAAAGTTAAATTTTTGATAAATTGTTTTTATGATATTTGTACAGTGAAGAAGCAGAAGTCAGAGGGCAGTATACCAGAGTCTGTGATGCGTGTTTTAGATATCGAGATGGAGAAATTATACAGCTGCCAAGATGCAAATAAGCTCAATGAAGAGTTCCTCTCAAAAAATGTTAATTCAGTATTACATAGAGCAGCAGGTATTTTAGTTTCTTACATATTTATCATATGCTAAGTACTTATAAAAATCTTCCTTCAAGAAATTGCTTATTTGTTAAAGTATATAAAGCTATATCTTGAGTAAAAAAATTTCAAAACTTTATAAACAGTGAAATTTGTGTTGTTTACTTGATACTATTATAGATTCTTTAATACAAAAGAGGGAGAGAGAGACATAGAATGTCGCTGGTATTAAAGACACATGAATATTGCACATAAATGTTCCGTATATATATAGGTATTATGTTGCTATCTTATTTAGGGTTTTACTTGTTGAACAATGATTTCCTGCATATGCCATTCATTTAAAGGAAATATTCAAACAAAATTTTGAAAAATAATTTTTGCAGTAAATATATAGCTTTATACACTTTTAGATAAAGTAAATGTGGTTGCTTGTGTGTTTTACTTAGCTTAACTGGTAATTCACTGAATCTGCATACATTGAGGCTCTTGTAGGGGGTGCATTTGTTAAGAAATCATTCATATAAATTGAAAAGTTTTAGGAAAATCATTATTTGTAGTCATAAACATAAGCATATACAAGAGTTTATATATGATCTTGAGTCAAGGAGCATCTGTGGCCAAGTGGTTAAGGTTGTTCAAACCACTTGCCTCTCATTATTGTAGGTGGGGACTTGGGATTCTTTCATGTGAGGAAGCTATCCAACTAGCTTACATAATGTCAAGTGGTTCTACTCCGGTGCCCGCTTGTGCTTGAAATAAGGCATGGAGGGCACCTGAAGTTTTCCTCCACCAGTAAAGCTGGATAATCGCTATATGACCATGATTGTTTTGGAGCCCAACAACAACAAAAAATAGTATCTTTATGCAATGTTGACCGAAATGTTTGGGACTAAAATCTAGTATAGGTTTTAATTGGATATTGGCTTGTAGATCTAGTACAGAATTTAATTAGATATTGGCTTGTAGATCTAGTACAGAATTTTATTGGATATTGGCTTGTAGATCTAGTACAGATTTTATGGATATTGGCTTGTAGATCTAGTATAGATTTTAATTGGATATTGGCTTGTAGATCTAGTACAGATTTTAATTGGATATTGGCTCTTACTTCTAGTGGATATTGTCTTGTAGATCAAGTAAAGGTTTTAATAGGATATTGGCTTGTAGATGTAGTACAGATTTTAAATGGATATTGGCTTGTAGATGAAGTACAGATTTTAAATGGATATTGGCTTGTAGATATAGTACAGATTTTAATAGGATATTGACTTGTAAATGTAGTACAGATTTTAATTGGATATTGGCTTGTTCATCTAGTTCAGATTTTATTTGGATATTGGCTTGTCTATATTTCAGCTGCTCGTATGATGTTTGAGATGAACTCTGACCCATCCACACAAGCTAAGGCATTACAGCTTGCCACTGCTGTTAATCAAGAGTTAAAAGGAGTCTCACCAAAGGTATGTCTATCTGATATATTAAAACTAATGTAAAAACTTAACTTATTTAATGGACATCATCAACAAAATGCTAGAAAATAAGAAGTCATTCCAGCCCCTGATATATAAGGTGGTGATGCTGGCTGGTGTTGATTGAGCGTATATAGCTATCTCTTAGAATAAACAAAGGGTTGATGGTTCTATTTAAAATGCCAGCCATTGCCTATATCAGACAACTGCAGATATTACCTTCTTGTCCACAAAGCTTGCAGGTGAAACCAAACAAAAGATAATAGCAGTGAAAATACAAGGAAATTTTCAAACCTTTTCTGTAAGCCTCTTATAATGTTCAATCATACATTTTCTCTAAAAGAAGTAAAGCCTAGAACCATATAAGTAAATGTTCTTTCATTTGAAGATTAGTATTATATTGTGCAATGTTATGTTTATATATGATAGATATTTATGATAACTTTATAGAATTGTCGGGAAGTGTTGGAGTATATTTGTCGAGGTGATTTTGGTCAATGTGAGGCAGAAGCCATGTCATATCAGGAAAGATGCCATAAACTGTTTCCCCATGTCCCCTCATTTCATATACCAAACTCACAGTCACAACAAATAGTAACCAATGGCAACATGTCAACATAACAGCTGCAATCAACATCGCATCAGTTGTCTGGAATTTCTTACCTAGTGTTAATTACTTCACAATACCGGAATAGTCAGTGCAGGTTTGACTTCTATTGAAGTTACTACAGACTGGTAGGGATTGACTGACAACAGTAGGAAACTTTCCAGTGCTCATCTGTACATGAGAATGCATGCGTGTGTGTGTTACCTTTCTCCCTAATTCTCCAAGAATAAAATTCTAGAACTATAGAAAAAAAGAATTCTTATTCCTTGCAACAAAACCTTAATATTGAAGACATTAATGATGATTGTAGCTGAAAGTTAAGTATGAAATAGTAAAAATGGAAGGAACAAATTGAAATTGTTTTATGAATGTAATGTCATAGTTACCATGGAAATCCAAATTTGATTTAAGTCTGACATCATTTTCCACTTTAACTGGTTTAGTCTGTTACTTAATGCAATGGCTGAAAAGTTAATTTGTTTGGGGAAAAACTTGTCAAAATATAGAAGATTATATATGACTATCTTTATGTAAAAAAAATCCCATTTTCAGTCAAAAATATACAGAAGAAGCCAGATAATTTGCATTAATTATATATCATGGGTCATTTTTTCTTAAGATCCATATATAAGATAAATTAGATGTGATATAGTTTGTTTCTTTTCTGTTTTGACACAAGATGGCAAATGAAACAAAATGATTGAAAGGCTATGCAAAATTTTACTCTTTAAAAGTGTGTATAATAATAAGACATTGGTAAATCATCCAGAATCATTACTGCTTAGTAGAATAAAAAAGGTGTACAGCTTTCTTCTTTCTTCATCCATGCCTTAATGAACAAAACCGCATCTTTTGAAATGTTCATTTTGATCAATTTTTTTTATCTGTAGTAACATGATCCATCTTCTACAATCTTTCAACACGAGATTCATTATATAAGTTTTCATTTGAAAATAACATTTCCCATTTATAAATGTAACTGTACCAGGTTTGTTCTTCCTTATTTATTGTATAAAATTGGAAATATAGTTGGATACTTTCAACCTGCAGTATTTGATAGCCTTGTTAAATAAAATCTCGGATATTGTAAACCATCTTGGTAACATCAATGATAGAATATTTATGACAAATTATTGTGACACATTTTTGAAATGGATTTATTTGAAATTTTTGTGTGAATTAATTAAAGCTGTTGAATATGATACAGAAAATATTACATGAAGTTAGTGATTTAAATGACATTAAAATGAGAACACTAACCAGTGCTTTATTTCTCCCTGTGTGCTGTAGTCAGCTTGTTGAACATTGCCATGTTTTGTATGTGTACATGTATGTGATTTTTATACGATTTTGTTACTGTATATTACATTAGTGAATGATTGATTGTTGAATGTTAATTTTCACGTGCTTGTTTTACTGATCCCTATGACAGTGAACAAGTCTGGGTACCTTTAAAGTTTATCAAATTATAAAACACCTTTGTATGGTTTAAAATACCAGTCTACACTTTTATTTTAGAAAATATCATGTATTGGAGAGAGGGGTAACCGAGATATTTTGGCCCGTGCATTTAGTTTCCATGTAATAAAATAAAACTGTAAAAGCACAAATGTCTCTGTAAAATATTTAAGGAAACTTCATAGTTACCTTTCACTTTATGGGATGGGGTTTGTTCAATTGTTCGTGAAACCCTACTGTTAATCATGTTAGAAATTTTGAAGTCTATTTATAATTTATTATGTTAATAATTACAAAATTAAGTTGTGAATTCCTCAGAATGAATCTGTTTGAGTTAATGAACACTCCAGTGTTGTGTTGATGAACACTCAGTGTTTGTGTTGATGAACACTCCAGTGTTTGTGTTGATGAACACTATGTTGACAAACACTTGGTGTTTGTGTTGATGAACACTCAGTGTTTGTGTTGACAAACACTTTGTGTTTGTGTTGATAAACACTGTGATTGTGTTGATGAACACTCAGTGTTTGTGTTGGTGAACACTCAGTGTTCGTGTTGGGCTTTTTTTGTCAAGCTGTCCTTTATATGTTAACAGTGTTTTTTCAGTGATATTTACCAAAGTTTAAGAATTGATTTCTCTTCAATAAGAATATTACTAGTATTTTGAAGGGATCATATTGCTGGTTGTTTATGTATAGGTCATTGTTACATAACTCATCAATATAAACAATGGAGAGACTGGACACAATAAATTGCAGGCACATTCTAGGTATAAAAGTGTTGTAAATCAGCTTGAAAAGTTCATATTACAGATTAATATTAAGATAATCCCATTGATTAAGTTCCTTTGGAAACATTTTTTTTTCATACAACAACTTTGTAGATTAGATAATCCTCAGTTCTCCCTGCTGGTGTGACTTCATGGTTGAAAACAGACCACAATCTGACTGGTGTAAAGGACGCCGAGTTGTCTATAATTAACCCAACATCAGAGTTACACCAAACAGGAATGGCCCTTAAACATCACATTCTTTCTCCATCAGAATTTACTATACTCTATACATGTAGGTGCAATCTGTTTGTGTATATTTTGACAGTTTAACAAAGGTGTGAGACACACATAACAACAATCTACAAAACTGAGACATAAACTAAATACAATATTCAATAAATTGCTACATGTTGAAACAATATACATGTAAGAGTAAAAAAGGTGATTTACTCGTTGATTGCTGTATGTGAAGTTGTATCCTCCTAAATTGTCCGGTTGTTGACTGTAAGTGCACACAGAGGATTGATAGGTAGTCATTGGGGGGAATATATACACCAATGACCATCTTACAAAACCAGTGAGGACACTAATACACTGCAGATGTGGACGTCCTTTCTTCCCTTTTGACAAAACCATGCTCAATATCATCTGGAAAAAAATGCTGGTCAAAATATTCTTGATAAGTATATATACACATTTCTGTATTTTCAAGTTCCAGGGTAATGTGATTGAATACACAAAATAGGAATAAAAGACTAATGATAAGGGCTTGAAAAAGTGTGAAAAGAAAGTTCACCACATTATCTTAATATTATAACTGTAATATGGGAGAAATAGATTTCTTAACTTGTACATGGATTGATGAGAGTAATGACAATTCTGAATATTTTTTCTGTACAACAAGCTATACTGTACTTCATCTTGTTTTTGTACGAGTTGAAATCAGTTTGGTATGAAAATTTGTGAGTAAATTAATCACATTTGAATCATATTTCATACCACCTGAACCATTATATCATCAAAACCATTATAACAGTTGATGTATAAATGAGTAAAACAAGCGAATGTGTGAAACCTTTTATTTTATTATTTCTACTTGTTCAAGCATTTTTGTATAAAGAGCTCGACATTAAAAGTACCAATAGAGAAGAAATGAAATGAAAATAAGAAACTAATTTACCTGTAGTCTTATTATTTTTAATGCAATAACTAGTAAATTATACTTAAACAAGCTGTGTCTATTTTGTTTTGTTATTGGTTGCCATGTTAACAAGAAATTTACAGATATCCGTATGTATAATGTACTGATGTTCAAAACACTCGAACTAAAGTTAATAAATGTCAAAAACTGTTTTCCATTTACATTAATACATATAGTGTTAATAAAATTGGTCTCTTTTGTTCACAGTTATTATATATTAAGGTTGACAGATAAAATTTTATTGTTGACTCTTTTGTGATATTCTTCTCCATTTTGTTTGTACATCAAATTCAGTTTTAAATGACTTGATAAAAGTATAATTTTAGCCATATAAATAAACGTTTATTGTCAGTGCTTTTTCTATACACCAACTAAAGTAAAAATAGTCTATTCTTTGTTAAATACACACTTTGGTGAAACTCTGTGCACAACAAACCAGTAAAATGATGTTGTACTGAATTATGATGTTAATTCAAGCACATTATTGAAGATTATTTGCTATAATTAATTGTTTGTAGAAATGTCAATGGTTTTACAAAAAAAAACTATTTATTGTTTTGATAAGAAAATTTGAATAAACTCATAGAAAATTTATTTTATTTCTTGTTATCAATTAATAGCCTGTCAGAAAATGTATTGCCTGTTCTTCAAAACGGGAAAATAAAGTTGTAAACTAAGTTTTGTTGATTCAGCATGTTTAATTTTCTATGACACCATTTTTCTTTTAAAGTAATCTGCACAACAGTGCTGTGTTAACATCCAAGCATGTTCATTATGTTTTTATCACTTGGTTAAATATATGATATCATGATGAAAAAAATCGATCAAAAGCATCTTAAGATACACGGAACCTGTGGACTCTTCCAGTTAATGGACTTGCGTAGCTTTGAAATTTGGACTATTTGTTTATGTGCTTTCCACATAGATTTCAGAAATTAAGCACCCAACAAAATACATACAAGTACTAGTGGAGTAATGTGTAAGATGATTCGTCTTTATAGTGGTCATTACCTCCGCTATAGTTAAGCTTTCGCTGGATTATGCATGTTTTACTGGATGGGACAGACACTACTGCGAATACCAGCAGCAGTGTAAAATGCAGTGTGCCTGGCACACTAATAATGATGTATTCATTCTTCAGAAAGATCAAACGTGATTGATAATGTTTAAATAACGAGTATTTAAAATATTGAACAGATGAATAGTACTGGACATTCGGTAATGTGTTTCAATTGCAGCAAAATGTAAACAAAGTAGTATTTTGACTTCCTTATATTAAATCACTATTATTATACCAGTTGCAAAAGGTGGTTTTATCTATATGGTTTCTGAGCATCTTTTTGGAAACTTTAACAAGGTAACAAAAATATGCTTTTTTAGAAATAAAAGTGGCATTATTTGGCTCTTTAAGAAAGATGTTACAAAAGTGACGAATACAAGTTGGTGTGGAACGAAAAGTATTGCACGTATTACTTGTGTATCCGTCGGTATCTGGCCTGGCAAGCAAATTCTTGCACACCCACTCCACAAACACACACGAAACACATAGTTGCTCCTCACAAGATACTCCATTTTTCTCAGTATCTAGTGTGACACATTTGTTGAAAACAGACCACAATCTGACTGGTGTAAAGGACGCCAAGTTTTTTCTTTATTTAACTCAGACATCAGAGTTACACCAAACAGGAATGGCCTTAAATCTCCGCTGTTTTCTCTCTCCCTCCGAGAGTTACACCAAACAGGAATGACCTTAAATTTTCGCTGCTTTCTCCCTCCACCAAACAGGAATGGCCTTAAATCTCCGCTGTTTTCTCCCTCCCTCCAAGAGTTACACCAAGCAGGAATGGCCTTAAATCTCCGCTGCTTTCTTTCACCCTCTGAGCGTTCTCCACATCATAGGTGCTATGTGTTTGTAAGTTTTCGACAGTTTTACAAACCTGTCAAACAATATATAACATCAATCCACTAAACTGGGGACAACAGCGATACAATACATTTACTTCGTTTAAAAGTAAAACAACATTTATATAATGATTTAACAATACATATAGTTTGGTATATGAGTACTTTATGTCATGACTGAAAAGTTCATTTATTAGGAATACAACTCGTCAAATAATAGAGGATTTATATATGACTTGATATATAACTTTATGAACAAAAAAACCCATTTTCAGTCAAAAATATGCATAAGAAGCCAGATAATTTGCATTAATTATATATCGTGGGTCATTTTTTCTAAAGATCCATATATAAGATAAATTAAATGTGATATAATTGTTTCTTTTCTGTTTTGACACAAGGTGGCAAATGAAACAAAATGACTGAAAGGCTATGCAAAATTTTACTCTTTAATAAAAAGTGTGTATAATAATAAGACATTGGTAATTCATCCAGAATCATTTCTGCTTAGTAGAATAAAAAAGGTGTACAGCTTTCTTCTTTTTTCATCCATGCCTTAATGAACAAAACCACATCTTCTGAAAATGTTCATTTTGATCAATTATCTGTAGTAACATGATCCATCTTCTACAATCTTTCAACACGAGATTCATTATATAAGTTTTCATTTGAAAATAACTCTTCCCATTTTATGATTTATACATGTAACTGTACCAGGTTTGTTCTTCCTTATTGTATAAAATTGGAAATTTAGTTGGCTACTTTTTAACCTGCAGTATTTGATAGCCATGTTAAATAAAATCTCGAATATTGTAAACCATCTTGGTAACATCAACGATAGAATATTTATTACAAATTATTGTGACACATTTTTTAAATGGATTTATTTGAAATTTTTGTGTGAATTAATTGAAGCTGTTGAAATATGATACAGAAAATATTACATGAAGTTAGTGAATGTAAATGACATTAAAATGATAACACTAACCAGTGCTTTATTTCTCCCTGTGTGCTGTAGTCAGCTTGTTGAACATTGCAATGTTTTGTATGTGTACATGTATGTGATTTTTATACGATTTTGTTACTGTATATTACATTAGTGAATGATTGAATGTTGAATGTTAAATTTTCATGTGCTTGTTTTACTGATCCATATGACAGTGAACAAGTCTGGGTACCTTTAAAGTTTATCAAATTATAAAACACCTTTGTATAATTCAAATTACCAGTTTATAATTTATTTTAGAAAATACTATGTATTGGAGAGAGGGGGACCTGAGATATTTTGGCCCATGCATTTAGTTTTCATGTAATAAAATAATGCTTTAAAAGCACTTGTCGCTGTAGAATTTGTAAGGAAACTTCATAGTATTCTTTTACTTAATGAAATGGGGTTTGTTCAATTGTTTGTGAAGCCCTTCTGTTAATCATGTTAGAAATTTTGAAGTCTATTTATAATTTATTATGTTAACAATTACAAAAGTTAGTTTTGAATTCCTGAGAATGAAATATGTTTGAGTTAATAAACACTCGAGTGTTTGTCTTTTTGAACAATCATTGTTTGTGTTAACAAACATTCAGTGTTTGTTTTAATGAACACTCGGTGTTTGTGTTGATGAACACTCAGTGTTTGTGTTGATGAACACTCAGTGTGTTGATGAACACTCAGTGTTTGTGTTAATGAACACCTGGTGTGTTTGTGTTAATGAACATTCAGTGTTTGTGTTAATGAACACTTGGTTTTTATGTGGATGAACATTCAGTGTTTGCGTTAATGAGCACTCGGTGTTAGTGTTGATGAACACTCAGTGTTAGTGTTGATGAACACTCGGTGTTTGTGTTGAGCCTTTTAGTGTCAATCTGACCTTTGTATGTCAACAGTGTTTTTTCATTGATACTTACCAAAGTTTAAGAATTAATTTGACTTCAATAAGAATATTACTAGTTTTTAAGGATAGTGTTAATGAAGTGATCATATTGCTGCTTTTTTATGTATAGGTTATTGTTACGTAACTCATCAACATGAACAATGGAGAGACAGGACACAAGTTTCAAATAAATAACAGGCACATTCTTTTTAGTCCCCTACCGGTTTAACCGGAGGGGACTTTAGGTTTACCCTCCGTCCGTCTGTCTGTCTGTCTGTCCGTCTGTCTGTCCGTCTGTCAGTCCGTCCGTCCACAAAACTGGATCCCGCGATAACGCAAAAAGTACTGAAAATATTTTTATGAAACTTGATATATGGATAGATGGCAGTATGGAGATTATGCACGTCTTTTTTTTTCTTCCTATGTTGAAAATTCTGGTTGCTATGGCAACAAATAGTCTGAAAATATGGCAAATTTAACACATAAACTGGATCCAGTGATAACTCAAAAAGTACTGAAAATATTTTTATGAAACTTTAAATATGTGTAGATGGCAGTCTGGAGATTATGCACATCTTTTTCTTTTTCTTCCTATGTTGAAAATTCTGGTTGCTATGGCAACAAATAGCCTGAATTTCAAGATTTCTGATTTAAATTTTTTCAGCTTTTTCACTATATGTTCTTTATTTCTTAAGGTGTTTACTTCAAAACTTTAAATATAAGTTTCTGGTTATCAACCACATAATATGTGACAAGGTTTATAACTCTAGCACAAAAAATATCAGTATTACCTCCCTTGAACTTAGATTTTTAGGGGGAAAAAATGTTGTCTTTTTTAAATAACTTCTTTATTTCCTAATGTATCTACTTCAAACTTCATATATATGTTTCTTATTATCACTCGATATTTTTGAGAAGGTTAAATACTCTAGCAAGACTATTTTCCAGAATTATGTCCCCCTTGAACTTAGATTTTTTTCGAGAAACTGGTATTTTCACTCCAACTTCTTCATTCCTTATAGGATTTACTTTAAAATCCCACATCGTAATAATATGACAAGGTTGTATAAACATAATTTCCTTACTAAGCATGGAAACTTAACACATTACTGTGATATAGACAAACTTATTTTATTATGTTTTTGTGGTTGATATTTTCAAATACAGACTTCATCCTCAAATTCATTATAAATGGCAATACACAGGAGTGTATGACAATTAAAGAACTTTTTGAGGGACCGGTAGGGGACTACTGTATTGCCCGCAATACTATCAAATGCTTGTTTTCAAAAGTTTTTTAAATCAGCTTGAAAAGTTCATATTACAGATTATCACACACCCGTGCCGATTTTGCGATTCCTTAAATATTATTTTGCATGGCAATATATATGCATGCATATATTTTGACGTGACGTCATTAGCGTTATACAAACATAGTGTAAAGATGCGCTAAATGTTAGCGTTATACTATAGACGCGTCAATGAAAAATGACTCTTATTTCACTTTAAACGGTCTTTATTTTGGGTATGTGATAATTAGAATATTAAATTCGTGTAAGTTCATTACTGAATTTATAGCACTCGTTGAATAAAATAATATAATGCTCGCCAGAGGCTCGCATAATATAATTTTATTCAACTTGTGCAATAAATTCAGTATTGAACTTACACTCATTCAATATCCTCTATTTAATATTAAGAATAAAGATAATCCCATTGTGATTAAGTTCCTCTGAAAACATTTTTTTTTTCATACAACATCTTTGTAGATTAGATAATCCTCTCTTCTCTCCTGCTGCTGTGATTTCAAGGTTGAAAACAGAC